TAAATCGCTTTCGCTGGCTGGCTCGCGACAGGCGACAAATACTCAAGACGCCTTCATTTTCCTTCCTGTCGGGGGGAACTGATCCAGCATCTACCTGCGGCGTCCCCGGTTGGCAGATTTGCCTGTCACCTTGGTAAGATGATTTAGAACCGTTTGATATCGCTGTTTTCTGAGTCGTCGTGGTACTTTGGCTATGGGTTTGATGATATAGCAATGACTGGTGACACATTAGGTCGAAATTAGGTGAAAGAGAAAACGTGCTGCCTAGGTAAGGCCCCCGGTATTGTCCTCTACGGAGAGTTTTCTTATAGAAGAAAATGCTATTGTCTCCCCACCGTAGCTCTTACATCTCTCTTTTCACTTGTACTTGTTTTCCCCTCTCTGTTATTACCTGATTAGCACGAAGCTGTTTCCGGCAGATCGGCATAAATCAAAATATTTAAAGATGAATAATTTCAACTATTGACTGACTTGTGCAATTTTGATAGTTTGCCAAGTGACAAATGTTTAAGATCTCATCACGTAATCCTTATCTGAAAGTAAAATTTTAGCAGAAAGTGTGTTTCATTTTCCATCTTTGTAAAGGTCTTGCTTTCTCCAGAAAATTTATGTGCCAAAAACTTCAACTTCAGTAGCCATTAGCATCTGTGTGTCTGTTTTCATGATTTCCAGCAAAATGTTAACTGAACTTAAATCACTGCTTCCTATCCCTTCTCCGCTTCTAGTTATTTGTGTCCAGTGCCACTTACCTTGTATTTTTGTGACAACGCATTTACTATTTTCTGGTTTACCTGTTCCACTACTATAGAAAAACCACTTCACGGTAAAGTGATTTCTAACATGTTATGATTTTAACTTATAAATATTGAAAGTATCACATTCTGCCTGTTTTAGGTGAGTGGTCAATTGGAATTTATCAGGAATTACACCTTGATTACTCTGGTTTTCTTAATTCTTTAGTTTTACTAATCATACAGTTGCATGACAATTTTTCATAGTTAATGTTAATTTTTGAAAAACTTTTAAAATACAGTTGGATGCTCACTGGACCGTATAACCTGTGTTTCTTGTATTTAAATGATGAATTACTGGTATTTGCATAAGTATCTTATTTAGGTTAGTGATTCTCAGACTTTGCTGTGCATTGGAATTGCCTGAAGAACTTTTAAAAGTCACAAAGCTGGGGACAGCAAGTGGCATAGTGGTTAAGGTGCTGGACTCTCACACGATGGTTTGAGTCCCCAACGGGACATGGCTCATGCATGCCCAAAATCCCTAGAAGAGAATGGAGAAGGGATTGTGGTGTGCTGCTGTCCCACCCCAACATCCCCCCCTCCTCCTCCCCCTCCCCCCATGATTTCTTGCTTTCTCTCTCTGTCACTCCAGTGAGCGCATGTGCCCTGTAGCAAAAAGTCATGAAGCCCAGATCATTCCCATGACAATTACTTTAGGATGTCTGGTTTTAGAAATCAGATACTAATATTCTTTAAAGGTTCTAGTTGATGCCAACGTGCAGCAAAGTTTGGCAGCTATTGCTTTAGATTTCCTTTTGCCATATTACGAACATTTTTTAATGGTTACATTGATCTCCACTCTGAAGTATGTAATGTGTGTTCTTTCAGTATACCATCCATGCCTTACTATAGTCTGTGCACAGTAGAGTGTTCTCTTATCTGAATTGTCAGAAGGCATGTGCTCTCACGGGCATGGTCACAGTGCAGTCCCCTTTTCTCCATGTCTCCGTTCTGTCAGTATTTTGAACACACAGGTACACACGTCTGGTGCTCTTGGTGCCGAAATTCAAACTGTGGTCGGCCATGTGGTCAGCTTTAAATGCACGGTGCTTAACCACTGTGCTTTGGGTTTTCTTCTACGTTCAAAAATGTACATGAATCGGTGGAAAATCACTATTAGAGTGTCGCGACCTACAAGGCGAAGGGATGTGGAACCCCCAGTGGAAGCAAATGAGTGGGTTGAGAAGGGACACGTAGACACGTAAGTAGAGAAAGCGGAGATTAGGCAGACAGGCGTCTCTGCATGGAGAATGCTGCAGCACTGAGTCATCTCAGGCTTATTCTTTCGTGCTGAAATGGGGGTGGAGAAATCAGGTTGCAGCTTGCGTCCCAAGGTTCTGGTGTCTCAGAGTTCTAAACAAGATTCCTCTAGCCTTCTCTGACTGACACTCAGCTTCCCTTCATTTACACTGCCCTGAGGTGTAACAGCAGTGCGTCTTTGTTAAAGCTTCTGCCTGTCCTGCAGTGTGAGCACAAAGATCGTCTCTACTTTATGAATATAGAAGTCGATAGTGCCTAGTCCAAGTCTGGCCACCCCTGCGTTAGAGCACTGCTTAAAAGTAATCATCGCGGACAAAGTACACTGGTGGATGCTTATTGGTCGAAAGAGAAATGAGGTATCTGCGTATTCTCAAAGTATCCTCTCTCCCAAGATGCTCATTGATTACGAAGGGGAAAATATTGATAATATATTTATGGTGAGAAATCTGGCAAACACCATTTTAATTGATCATGGTTAATATCTTCAGTAATAAGACGTATTAACATCATGTACCCTTCTCCCCATATGATACACTGAGAGGAGCATACCACTTACACGATATTCTTTGTTTACTTTTTTAAAAGAGGTTTTTGCCTTAGTGTGCATATGCTTGGAGAGAGAGACAAAAGGAAAGTGGGAAATCAACCCCCGGGGGGGAGGGGCAACACTGCCGTCCCTTTTCCTCCATTCTCCTCTTGGGATCTTGGTCATGCATGCACATGTGCCTGGGTCTGGTACTCGAACTGCTGTCAGCCATATGGGAGTCCAGCAGCGTAACCGCTGTACCATTTGTTGCCCCTCCCCATGATATTCTTGCTAAAAATATGTGACCTCAATCTAATCATGAGAAAGCATCAGACAGATTCAAATTTTGAGACATTCTCAAGTAATTCAGAAGTGCCAAGGTCAGGGGGATAAAAGGGTACGACTAAAGAAGTGTCACAGTGTAGGAAACTAAACTAAGGAAACGTAATGACTAAATGTACTATAGCATCCTTGATTGGGTCCTGGAACAGAAAAGGACGTTAGTGGGGAAACCAGTGAAATCCAATGGAAGCATGTAGTTGATACTATACCAATGTCCTTTTTTTTATTTTGATAGTGCTATATGAAATCTTAACATTAGGGGAACCTGGATGTAGGAGCATCTTACTGGTTTTTTGTTTGTTTGTTTGTTTTTTGTAATTTTCTGTGTGCATAAAAATATTTCAAAATGAAAAGTTCAAATACTTTAGACAGTGGGGCCGGCAGGTGGCGTAGTGGTTAGGGGCGCTGGACTGCCACGTGGACAACTGCAGTTTGAGTCCTAGACCTGATGGCTTGCTTTCTCACTTTCCTTCTCTCTGATCAAAACTGGAAAATAATAATAAATAAAAACGTTAAATAAAACATTTTTAAAAAATTTTTACACAAATGTTCTTCATGCCTCATTTTCTGCTTCTTTTCCTCTGAATTTATACTTAACATCTATTGACTGAAAAAATACTATTGACTAGCTTAACGGTTGCCTCTTTCCCACAGTGATGTACATTGTGGTTTTAATTTGCATTTCCCCATGACTAAAAATGTTAAGCCCATATTCACATGCCTGTCAGCTATTTGTATATCTCCTTTTGTGAATTAAGTGTTCAATGCTTTTGGGGATGAGTATTTTTAAAGCTTTTAATGCTTTATTACCTTTGTAAAATAATACCAATTTATTTTCTTACCAATAGCATATGAAAAAGCCTATTTCATTCTTAGTAGTTTTTATATTCCCATATTCATGGCAATTCCTCAGTAAAAGAATGGAAATATAGTTTTCTCTGGCATTTTGGATTAGGTTTTTTTTTTTTTTTTTGACAGGTTTTTGCTATAGGGCCTGTGCGCTTGCCACAGAGACAGCGAGAAATTACCCCCTGGAGGGATGGCCAGGCTGCAATCCCTTCTCCTCCGTTCTCCTCTTGGGATCTTAGGCATTATATATATATGTATGTGTGTATATTTAATTTGCTTTAGGGCATGTGCACTTAATGGAGTGAGAGAAAGGAAGAAAGCACCCCCCCACTCCAGGGAAGATGGACATACCACAGTCCCTCCACTCTATTCTCTTGGGAATTTGGGCATGCACACATGTGCCCAATATGTTTTCTAAGCTGCCAGGTCTAGGACTTGAACCATACAGTCGGCCTTGTGGAATCCAGCTGCCATAACCACCATGCCACCACCCGGCCTTGGATTAGGTACCTTTCTAACTGTTCATAAAACTTTGTCTTACAGAAAAATGGCAACTGGACAGGAACGAGTGGTTGCTCTGTTGGACATGGACTGTTTTTTCGTTCAAGTGGAGCAGCGGCAAAATCCTCATTTGCGGAATAAACCTTGTGCAGTTGTACAGTACAAATCATGGAAGGGTGGAGGGTATGTATCACTGTTATCGTCACATAGAAATACAGTGGATTTGTGCTAGCTACTGTTTTCGAGGTGTGCTTTATATTGAATATTGGCTTCTGTGGTCTATTTCTAATGTTAATATTATCTCTAATATGTTTGGAGACAATTCCTCTTAAAATTGTTTTGCTTGTGATCATGTAATGTTTCTCTGTTTCCTCCTCTCTTTCCTAACGTTAGAATAATTGCAGTGAGTTATGAAGCTCGTGCATTTGGGGTCACCAGAAACATGTGGGCCGATGACGCTAAGAAGTTATGTCCAGATCTTCTACTGGCACAAGTTCGCGAGTGCCGTGGGAAAGCCAACCTCACCAAGTAAGAAAAAGAAGGTCGTTGAAGGCAGGGAACCCGACCCTCGGCTGTGGACGTGCTGCTGGTCCATGTCCTGTTGGGGGCCAGGCCACAGACTGGTGGCTGGGTGGCAGGCAAGTGAGTGAGGCTTCAGCTGTGTTTGCGGCCACTCCCTATCACTCACATTGCTGCCTGGGCTCCGCCTCCTGTTGGATCAGCTAGATTCCCAGGGGAGCACAAACCCCATTGCTGTGCGATTGTTCATTGTATATGGCAGTGTGGGTGGTAAAAGTGGGGTGTGAAGTGGATGTGGTGCGCTTGGGTGTCCTGGGACCAAACAACCAAGCCCCTTCCTGTCTGTGGAGGGATTATCTTCCACGAAGCCAGTCCCTAGTGCTAGAAAGGTTGGGGACCACTGGAAGAAGATGTAGAAGAAATGCCTATGAACTGGTATTTCAAATTTGTTTCATGTAAAGAACATTTGAAAATGTTCCCTTTGGTCAGCTATCTGGTCTCTACAAAGTGGAAACAGAATTTTGATTCTGTGTCCCAGGAACAGTTGCTGCCTTTGTCACCCATTCAGTTCTTTAGTTTAAAAATGATTATAATTAAAAGTTGAGGACTGGCCCTGTAGTCTATTGATTAAGGGACTCAGATCCCACATGGCTGAGCGTGGCTCGAATCTCAGCCTCGGTAGCATGAAAAACATGCTGGGCACGTAGGGATGCATGCCCCAAATTCCGGCAGGATAGAGAACTGGAGGACAATGGATTGTGGCATGACCACACCCTACTGGAATGTGCTTTCTGCTTTTCTCTGCTCCCTTTCTCTCTCTCTCATGAGTGCAGACACCTTTTAGCAATTAAAAAGAAAAAGTTATACTAATTTCTATTTTTTTAAACCCAAAAGTCTATACTGTCTGAAGTAATTTGACCGAGACTAAGAGTTTTTCTAAGAAGGCTAAGTTAAACTGACATTCTATTATAATATCTAGGCTTATTTGCCAGAATTGAGCATTCTCAAGAGAGACTACTTCCTTTGTTTTTGAACTGAGCTGTTGCTCCCCAAATTTTAGAAATTAAGGACTGGAGTGGAAGGCATATATGGGCATAGCCAAGGCAGTGGTAGGTACACACAAGCCCCACATGTTATCTTTACCCTAACAGCTAGTATGTATTGTGCATGCTTACTTTGTTTTAATTTGCCAGGGACTGGGAACCAGCAGTTAGCATAATGGCTATGTCGCTGGACTCCCACATAGTTGACCGCAGTTTGCATCCCGGACCTGGTGGCTTAAAACTCACGCCGGGTGCGTGTGCGTGCGTGCCCAAGATCCCGAAAGGAGAATGGAGGAGAAGGGATTGCAGCATGACCATCCCCCGGGGGGTGATTTCTCGCTTTCTGTCTCTCTGTCTCTGTCTGTCTGGCGAGCGCACGCGCCCTATAGCAAAAACCTCTCAAAAAAAAAAAAAATTGCCAGAGGGTGTGTGTGTTGGACAGAAAGATAGATGGAGAAAAGGAGAGCGAGTGAGAAAACACACCCCATGGGTCAAGGTCTTGCCATAGTCCCTTCTCATCCAGTTCTCCTTCCTGTCTGGATTTTGGGCACAAATGCTCTCATGCCTGGTGACTCTCAAATCACCGGGTCTGGGACTCTAATTGTGTGGTTGGTCATGTGGGATTTAGCTGCCCTAATCACCAGTCATGGGCTCTCTCAAGCATGTTTTCTTTATCCACACAAACACACACATGGGTGTGTACGAGGCACTGTACTAAATTCTTTTTTTTTTTTAAGAGAGGTTTTTTTTTTTTTGCTATAGGGTGCGTGCAATCACCAGACAGAGAGGGACAGAGAGACAGAAAGCGAGAAATCACCCTCTGGGGGGATGACCACGCCACAATCCCTTCTCCTTTCTCCTCTTGGGATCTTGGGCATGCACGCACACGCGCCCGGCGTGAGTTTTAAGCCACCGGGTCTGGGATGCAAACCGCGGTCAACTACATGGGAGTCCAGCGACATAGCCATTACGCTAACTGCTGGTCCCTGTACTAAATTCTTTCTAGGCATTATCTCCTATACATCACACATTGGTTTAAGGTGGGTGAGCATTATTATCCCCTTGTCACATGAGGAATCAAGTTTTAGAGAGTTAAATTTACACAGCTAATTATAAAAACTGAGGAGTCACAGCTTTTTTTATATTTTATATCTACAATCCCATAGTATCACTGTACCAAGTGGTATGGTATGTGGATTATTCTTTGACTTGGTAATGGAGTTTTTGGGTTTTATTTTTTTAGGCTTTTGCCATAGGTGGCTGTGCTTGCCGGAGAGAGAGAGAGAGAGAGAGAGAGAGGGAAAGTGAGAGATCACCCCCGCAGGGGGATGGCCAGAATCCCTTCTCCTCTGTTCTTGTCTTAGGATTTTAAACATGTAGGCACACACGCCTGACATGATTTTTAAGCCACCAGGTCCAGAACTCGAACCATGGTCAGCCATTTGGTAACCCAGTGCCTTAACTACCTCTCTACTGGCTGGACTTGGTAATGGAGTTATTTTTGAATTCACCTATGAATTTAGAGCCTAAAGATAGAGTGATATAGCCAATCCCACATTGGAAATGTTGCCAGAAAAGACAAGTTTGAATGAAGATTAATAGTTTAATCCTGGGTACTAGCAGATAGTATAATGGTTACACCACTGGCCTCCCATGTAATCTGCCGCAGTTCAAGTCCCGGACCCAGCAGCTTAAAACTCATGTCGGGTGCATGTGCATGTGTGCCCAGCATCCTGAGAGGAGAATGGAGGAGAAAGGATTGTGGCGTGGACATCCTCCTTGGTGGGTGATTTCTCACTTTCTGTCTGTTTCTCTCTCTCTGTCTCTCTGGCAAGCACACGCACCCTATAGCGATCTCTGTAAAATAAGAGGTTTAACACTGAAGTAGATTAGCATGTTACTTCAGTCAATGGGCATATCCTACGTTGTATTAAATAGAATTTTATGTTGGTGTAGATACTGTAACTTCCTTAATTGTATGTCATTAGGTTTAAAGTATGATTTGGAAAGGCCACACTCTGTAAACTTTAAACCGGATCATTTACTTTTAAAATCTTCAAGTAATGGACAAAGATGGTTTCAGAAACTTAGGAATAAGTTTGTAGACCAGAGAGTTCATTAGGCCCGGCAATTTAAAATCATTTTAATAATTAACTTTAAATACTCGGTTATGAAAATAAAAGCACTATTTGCAGAACCTTATATACACTTTTTGTATAGTGTTTTTCAGATACTATTTTTTTTAAGAGTTTTTGTTGTTGATGGTTTTTTTTGTTTTTTTTGGTTTTTGGTTTTGGGTGGTTTTTTGTTTGTTTGTTTGTTTGTTTTTTGTTTTTTGCTATAGGACACATGTATGTGCCAGAGAGATAGGAAGTGAGAAATCACTGCCCAGGAGGGATGGCCATGCCACAATCCCTTCTTCTCTATTCTCCTCTCTAGATTTTGGGCACGCACACACACGCACCTGGCATGAGTTTCAAACTGCCGGATCTGGGACTTGAACCACAATTGGCCACGTGGGAGTCCAGTGATATAACCATTATGCCATCCGCTGGTCCTGGGTTTTTCAGATATTCTTAATAATTTAGAGGAACAGAGATACTGTGGTACAGCACAAGTGTTCTTGCAAGGCAGTCGTACATGGAAAGGTTCCTAGATCAAGTCCTGAGACCTCCCTGAGTATTCTGTACATGCACATGTTCATTATTCAGGGCTGATAATGAAGACCGGGCTGATCACAGTGGGGTGTTGTTGTGTGTGTGTATGTGCGTGTGTGTGTGTGTGTGTGTGTGTGTCTCAGGAAATAAACTTAAGGAAAAAAACCTTAGAGTAACTTTATTAAGAGACTGTTAAAAACACCAGCTATTGCAATAGAGTATCTTTTTGTGGCTTTGTATGTGAGTATATTGCCCTCTTTTTTTTTCCCCCCTTTTGAGGCCCAACTATCCTTGTCCTAGGCTCAAATAATTAAAAAGAAAACAAAAAGAAGCGAAAGCTGGCTCTATAGCAGCTGGTGTAAGGAGGAAGTCAGATCCCAGGTGACTGACTGTAGAGTTTGAGTTGCAGCCCCGGTGGCTTAAAAACTATGCCAGATGCACACATGTACATGCCCATGCCCGGGATCCTGGTGGGATGGGGAATTAGAGAAAGAAAGATGGCAGTGTGATCAGGTCCTCTTGGAAGAATTCTCTCTCTCTCTCTTTCTCTCTCTCATTATGCACATGTTCTCTGGCATTTAAAAAAAAAAATAGGGAAAAAAGCGTATCTGTATTTCTCTTACTTAATGTTTTAGAACAATTATTATATTAGATTTTTTTTTTTTTGAGAGGTTTTTGCTTTAGGGTACATGCAATCACCAGAAAGACAGAGAGAGACAGAGAGACGGAAAGCGAGAAATCCCCCCCCAGAGGGGATGGCCATGCCACAATCATCCCTCCTCCTCCATTCTCCTCTTGGGATCTTGCACGCACATGCACCCGGCATGAATTTAAGCCACTGGGTCCGGGACTCGAACTGTGGTCGACTACATGGGAGTCCAGTGACATAGCCATTGTGGCAACTGCTGGTCCAGTGACAAGCCGTTTGGGGACCTGCTGGTCCCTTTTTTTTTTTTTTTTTTAAGAGAGAATTTTGCTATTGGGTACATGCATTCACTTGAGAAACAGACAGAAAGTAAGAAGTTAGCCCCCAGGGGAATGGCCACACTGCAATCCCTTCTCTTCTCTCAGGATTTTAGGCACACATATATACACACGTACTCGGCATCAGTTTTAAGCCTCTGGGTCCAGGACTCAAACCTCAGTTGACTCTATGGGAGTCCAGTGAGGTAACCATTATGCCATCTGCTGGTCCCAATAATTATACTAGTTTTATCATATATGTTAGTAGAGGGATAAAATATTTTCATTTTTTGTGGTAGATATAATAGGCTCAACAGGAACAGAATTTAAAATTATATAGCAGGAAAAAAAAAAAAAACCACATTGTGATTAAAAAACTAGTTATGGGGCCAGCAGGTAGCATGGTGGTCAGGGGTGCTGGACTCCCACGTGGCCAACACGGTTTGAGTTCAGGACTTGGCGGCTTGCTTTCTCTCTCTCTATGTCCCTCTCTGGTCAAATCAAAATTAATAATTTTATTAATTATCATAAATAATTATCATAAATAATTCTCAAAGCTCAATAAAATAATATAATAATTTTTAAAGGATTATTTTATTTAACTTTATTATTACTATTTTGCAGTTTGATCAGAGAGAGAGAAGGAAGGGGAGGAAGCAAGCCACCAGATCCAGGACTTGATCCGTGATTGGCCATGTGGGAGTCTAGTACCTTTAACAATCCTGCCACCTGCTGGCCCCAATAAAATAATAATTCTTTTTTTGAAAAAAAAACTAGATATATGGGAGTCAGTAGATAGTGTGGTGGTTAAGGTGCTGGATTCCCACATGCGGCTGATCTTGGTTCAAGTCCCAGATGTGGTGACTTGAAATCACTCCTGGCGTTTGTGTACACGAGCCCAGAATCCTGAGAGGAGAATAAAGGAGAAGGGATTGCAGTGTGGCCATCTCCCTGGTGGGTAATTTCTCATTTTTCTTCTCTCTGGCAAGCACACATGCCCTATGGCAAAAACCTAAAAATAGAAACAAACCAAAAAACTAGCTATAATTGCCAGAAGAGCTACTTGTTTATGGTTCGAACAGAAGGTATATGGTGAGATTGGTATCTCCTAAGGAGATGCATCACCACATGCTAGGTGTTTAATTTGATCATTTGAACATTAGTATATCCAGAAGTAATTGGTTCGTGGGGGCGTGTGTGTGTGTGTGTGTGTGTGTGTGCACGCGCGCATGTCACCATAACCAGTTCTCATGCTAACCGAATTTCCCATTGACTGAAATATAAAATCTGTAAGTCAGCTTGTTAACTTATGGTGAGAAATACTGTGCTGAGGAAGACCAACTGCCCTGGTTCACTAATCACTGCAGTGTCATCTGTAAGTTGCTTCTTATTTGAAGACAGAATTAGAAGCAGAACACCACAGGTGGACATATGAAAATAACAAACACGGTGACCTCTGTGAGTGATCATAGTAGATGTTTTCCAAATTATCAGTTAGAGACATTCTTGTCATGTAAGGATGTTCACAGTCTGGATGCTTTCTAAAGTGTTGATATTATACTAAGATTTGCCTCTGTTCTTTTCTCTTTTTTTTTTTTTTTGGAGAGGTTTTCGCTATAGGGCGCTTGCGCTCACCAGACAGAGACAGAGAGACAGAAAGTGAGAAATCACTCCCCAGAGGGGATGGTCACGCCGCAATCCCTTCTCCTCCATTCTCCTCTCGGGATCTTGGGCACTCACGCACATGCGCCCGGCGTGAGTTTTAAGCCACCGGGTCCAGGATGCGAACCGCAGTCGACTACGTGGGAATCCAGCGACATAGCCATTACGCTAACTGCTGGTTCCCTCTGTTCTTTTCCTTGTTTTTCTTATTGGTCATCTTTCTGTCCATTGATCCATTCATTTGGGTACTATCTAGCCGCTATGAAGCCACTTGTTTTTCAATTTTGTATATTATTATTGTTCATCATGGGTGGGACGGAATGCGGCTGACAATCTCAAGATTTCCTCCATTTGTTACCTACATATATCATCCTTATTCTCTTTAGGTACCGGGAAGCCAGTGTGGAAGTGATGCAGATAATGTCTCGTTTTGCTGTGATTGAACGTGCCAGCATTGATGAGGCTTATATAGATTTGACAAGTGCTGTACAAGAGAGACTACAAAAGCTGCAAGGTCAGCCCATCTCCGCAGACTTGTTGCCAACAACATACATTGAAGGGTTTCCCCAAGGCCCTGCAACTGCAGAAGACACTGTTGAGAAAGGTACTTCCATAGCATCATATTGCTTCTGCTTCCTGCCTTTGGAACCTGTTTGCTTGGCCACGCTGATTCTTGGAATGATTGAAAGGAAAGCTTAACTACAGCCCGAATGCATCTCAAGGACTCACATGGAACGATACAAATTCTCTTATCTTTCCAGGTATATAGATGCTGAGTGAATCTGTATGAAAGTAAATTTCTCTTTGAGTATAACTAGGGCAGGTTATTGTTATTTATACAGGGCAGAAGGCTGAATGAGCACTTCTGTCATTTGTAGGTTAATCTATATTATTGTTACAGTTTCTTGGTTTTTTCATTTGTAAGAAGGGTAAGTCTTTTATTTAAGAGGGGACTTCAGGTATAGAGAGTTGAATCATTCAGAATTTCTAATTAGCTCATAGCACTTATTATCAGTGAGCTATGCATGGCCCTTTTTGTTTTATCTTAGTTTTTTACTTCTTTTCTCTTTTGTAATGATTCCTTGAATCCTTCCCAACCCTGCTCATCCTCCAGCAGCCACTGACGTATTTGATATTGATATATTTTCTTACCTATGTACGTATCTTCTTTTTTTGCTTTGCTTTTTGTTATAGGGCATGTGCACTTGCCAGAGAGAGGGAAAGTGAGAAATCACCCCCAGGGAGGATGGCCAAGCTACAGTCTCTTTTCCATTCTGCACTTGGGATTTGGGGTGCACGTGCATGCACCCATTGTGATTCCCAAGCTGCCAGGTCTGGGTCTCAGACCATGGTCAGCCATGTGGAGTCCAGTGCCTGAACCACCACACCACCTGCTGCTCCCTATATGTCTTTACAAATTATACAATATTGCTTTTTAATTGCAAGGTGATCTGTTATTAAAGATCTTAGTTCTTAGGTTTTCTTTCAGTGGTGATTTTAAACATCTATCCATGCAGTTATATTTATAGGTAATTTATGACTTTTACCTATAGCATAATCCATGGTATGAATCTACAATGTATATGGACTATTCTTGGTGACACATTTATTGGGTGCTTCTAATACTTTACCATTTGTATGATGAATATCCTTGCTGATCTCTTTCTGAACCTATGCAAGGGTTTCTTTGGGAAATATTTTCAGGAGAGGGCTGCTAGGTTGTAGGGTATATATATTTAGTTTCATTAAGTACTCCCAAATTGTTCTCCAGGGTTTGTAACAGTTTGCATTCTGCCTGCCAATAGCTTGTGTCTCTTATATTCTCACCAACAATCAACATTATCTAATGTTTAAAATATTTGCTAATGGGCCAGTAGGTAGCATGGAGGTTAGGGCAGCTGGATCCCACATGGCCATCTTCATGATTTGAGTCCTGGACCTGAAGCTTGAAAATCTCACCAGGTGTGTGTGTGTGTGTGTGTGTGTGTGTGTGTGTGTGTGTGTGCGCCCGTGCGCACGTGCCTAAAAGCCAGAGAGGAGAATGAAGGAGAAGGGATTGGGTTATGACCATTCCTTCTGAGTAAAATTTCTAACTTTCCTTCTTTCTCTGTCTGTCTTTGGTGAGCACGTGTGCCCTGTAGCAAACTGAAGAAAAAAAAAAAGAATTGCTAACGTGATGGCTATTAAATGGTATTTTGTGTGTGTGTGAATTTATTTGTTCCATGAATGAGATAGACAGAGAGAGAGAAAGAGACACAGGAATACAGCACCCCCAACAGGCTCTTGACACTACAAACCACCCCTAGCCTCAGCCTTCCCAGATCATGGACTTGCATGCCTGGGGTACTCAAGGAGGCCATCAGATAGGAGCTGGCAACCTTCTCATTGTGGCTTGCCTTGAGTGTTGGATTTTACTGCTGTCTATAATAAGGCCCCATACCTGTCTGTTTTTAACATTGCTAATGTAAGGGTGGCATAGTGGTTAAAGTGCTGGTTATGGCTGACTGTGTTCAATTCCCGGACCCAATGGCTTGAAACTCATGCAGGGTGCATGTGTGTGTGTGTGTGTGTGTGTGTGTGTGTGTGTGCCCAAAATCCTGGGAGGAGAATGGAGGAGAAGGGATTGCAGCGTGGCCATTCTCCACCACCACCACTACCCCTGGGGGAGGTGATTTCTCAATTTCTGTCTTTCTGGTTAGTGTACATGCCATATAGCAAAAATTTCTCTTAAAAAAAGTTCATAAAAAATGTGTTAAGAAAATACTATGCAGAGACTGTAAAACTTTCTTATACCAGGTAAATTCGTATTGCCCTTCCTTTTTTTATTTTTCATTTTACTAGAGGCACATATGTTCACCAGAGAGAGAGACCATGAGAGAGAGAGGAAGAAAGCACCTTGCATGGGGAATGGTCATGCCACAATCCCTTCTCTTCTATTTCTCCCTCCTTTTAGGATTTCAGCCATGCATACACACATACCTGACATATTTCCCAAGCCTCTGGGTCTAGGACTTCAGCTCAGCCATGTGGGATCCAGCATCCTTAACCACCAAGCCATGGGCTGGCCCTCAATTCATACTCTAATTTTTTTCATAAACTTTTTGAAATCTTGTATCTTCTCTCAAGTCTGTCATCCATCTGTTTTTTTGTTTGTTTGTTTGTTTGTTTGTTTTGTGGTTTTTTGTTTTTTGGTTTTTGGTTTTTTTTTGAGAGGTTTTTGCTATAGGGCGCGTGCGCTCGCCAGACAGACAGAGAGAGACAGAGAGATAGAAAGCAAGAAATCACCGGGGGGATGGTCACGCCGCAATCCCTTCTCCTCCATTCTCCTCTCGGGATCTTGGGCACGCACGCACACGCACCTGTCGTGAGGTTTAAGCCACCGGGTTTGGGACGCAAACTGCGGTCAACTACGTGGGAGTCCAGCGACATAGCCATTGCGCTAGCTGCTGGTCCCATGTCATCCATCTGTTAACTTTGCTTATGTTATGCTTTGTTAAAAAAATTCTTACTTTCAGTTCATCAGTTTTTTCACCTTGTGGTTTATGCATTTTGAATCCCATTTAAGAAGTCTGTATATATCAGAAGTTCACAGTGACATTGTCTCGGTCCATTATTTTTGTTATTACAGAAAACCTAAGGTAGGATAGTTTAAAAACACTGGCAGTGTGGGACCAGCAGTTAGCATAATGGCTATGTCGCTGGACTCCCATGTAGTCGACCGTGATTCGAGTCGCGGACTCGGTGGCTTATACTCATGTCAGGCGCATGTGCGTGTGTGCCCAAGATCCCGAGAGGAGAATGGAGGAGAAGGGATTGCAGCGTGCCCATGTCCCCTGGTGGGGAGGTGTGATTTCTCACTTTCTATATCTCTGTCTCTCTGGTGAGTGCACACGCCCTGCAGCAAAAACCTGCCAAAAAAAAAAACACCAGAAGTGTATTTGGCTCACATTCTGGAGCCTGGAAAGGCCACTAGCATGGTGCCAGCATCTGGCAAGGATATTCATGCTTCATCATCCCAAGGCAAATGAGGAAACATGCACATAAAACAGAGAAAGGGAAAGGGTGCCAAATTTATCCTGTTATCAAGAGCCCACTCCCATGAGAATGACATAATCCTTTATGAGGGCAGACCTCATGACCATTACTTAAAAGTTCAACTCAGTATGGCACTGGGGAATAAGTTTCTAACACATGAAGTTTGGGAGGCATACTTAAGCCATGATATTTTATCTCTGGCCCCTAAAGTTCATGTCCTCACAATGCAAAACACATATAATATATTCCATCTCCTTGGTTTCAAAAGTTTAATTCATTCCAGCGTCACTGAAAACAATCAAAAGTTCATAATCTCTTCTAAATCACATGTGTCTATGACTTAAGGCACCACTTATCCTGAGGCAAATTTCCCTCTAGCTGTGAGCAAGGGAAAGTACACAAGTTACTTACTTCCAAAACACAGTGGTGGGACACGTGGAGAATAGACATTTCCTTTCTGAAAGGAAAAAATGGTGAAGGAAGGGGTACCTGGCTACAAGTAACTTTAAAACGTCGGGAACCAGCAGTTAGCATAATGGCTGTGTCGCTGGACTCCCACGTAGTCGACCGTGGTTCACGTCCCGGACCCGGTCACTTAAAACTCACGCCAGGCGCGTGTGTGTGCGTGCCCAAGATCCCGAGAGGAGAATGGAGGAGAAGGGATTGCACCCCTGGGGGGTGATTTCTCGCTTTCTGTCTCTGTCTCTCTCTGTCTGGCAAGTG